AAAAATATCAAGGCATTCTGATGACCAAATTAATACTACCTTTTAAGTTGCGTGAATAGTATAAAAATTATAACTTTCAAAAGTATTTTGCAAATATCAGTGAACAATCCTTTATCTTTTCTGAAAAACTCATATTGTTTCCTTTTTAAAAAATATCCATCCTTCTTTCCTGAGCCAGTAATACGGGTCCAACTAGGATGATCAGTGCTGACACCCTTTTCAGTGCTGTCAAGCTGAAGAATTCTATGCAGGACAATTTAAACGTTGGTGAAGATCCTAACAGACAAAGATACTTTTTCTTTTATACATTTACATTCCCTAAGTTTCACTTAGGGAATTCTGAAATATTAAAGTTTCAGTGGAGGCTAGTGTTTACATATTTACAATGTCCCTATGCTGCCCTAAAACAATACTATTCTGGGTTGAAGGTAATTTAAAATTATAGACCACCACCACATTCAAAATAGATGTTCATTCATGGAGGACATTTTTCTAACAATTTTAGTTTGTTCATTAAGATAAAAACTGGCTTATTGTTTTTTGGGGTTTTTTTTGCAGCCGTATCCTAACCAGCTATTCTTTCAAAACTGCATTTATTTACATATCCTCATATCTGTACCAGTGTATACTTAAGATGGGCACACAAATACCAGGTTTAAGATAAATGAACAGGCTAGTCATAAATTTGCAAGTAATAATAGAACAGATGGAAAGCTGTGTGTCTTGGTAGGAACACTCAATATCTTTTTCAGCATTTTGATTTTGCTTAGAAGTATTTACTGTTCTTAGGCTTTAAGAAACATTGACCAGAAAAGAACGGCCATATGCTATAAATGCAGAACCGATCACCATTCAAGCTGCCAAACTATTGAAAATGAAATGGTAATAACCTGTTTAATTTCTACACGTATACAGTAGATGGTTCTGTTGTTGTATGGAGTATAATATGTGACATATTCTACATGTCTCTCCTTTGTATTGTGATAGGTTTATGTCAAGACTCATCTGCAAGAGAGGATCAAAAAATGTCAAGATGGTGGCTACAACCATGCAATCAAAGTCCCACCATTTTTATGGTATTACATGATTATGGCCAGCATCTTGACTATTTCGATCCATTCCCAGAGATTATAGTCATAGAGAATTTTTTCCATATTGAGCTGGTTGTCTACATTAGGGGTAGGAAGCCTGTTATTATTCCTTATTTGCAATTTAGTTCCCATTCCCCCCTGCTATATGGCCAGTGAGTAGGAAATAGGAGTGTAGTAAACCCACCCCTCCATATTTGGATGATACCTGGTTGCCTAACCATGGAGAAAATAGGACTGATTCTAGATTGAGGGAACAAATGCAAGAGAATAGGGAACATGGTATTCAAAGCCATGTTTTATTATATTTTTGTCACTGCAATCTGCATCAAACATACATGGTTTTACAGTAATCAAACTATAGTCATCAGACAAATTTGGTAGCAGGACAATATTTTATATGTAATTATTGTAAAAAAAAAATGCACACATGCACCAAGAACAATTTCTAAGTTCTTTTTGTCACATCTGGATTATATATTATGAACTACTAAATTCATAAGTGAGGGGGGAGGTGGTTAAGCAGGATTGCTATATATGCTTATCTGAAAATAAATTCCAATCAAATGAATACAGAATCGAATCTGTATTGTTAAAAGCTAAGGAGCAGTATCTATTAAAAACGTGGCAACTGTAAAGCAATGACATTTTAAAGAAAATAAAGCTCACATATGTTGTTCAGCCTGATCTTTGCTAATCAGAATTTAATAAAGCTAGGCGTAAATATAATGTGTCCCTGCAATTTACAACACTTCTCTAACCTTTATCCATCACAATAACGGACATTTCTCTAGTCATATATTAACTGCTGTCAACTGCATAAAGCAGATAAGGCACTTGTTTCATTATCTGTTTCAATGATTTCTTGTACAGTCAATATCACATCTTTGTGTAATCTAACCTAGAATTCTGTAAGCAGTAATTGCTTACATTTGATTGTAATTGCAGTTAAAAATAGGTTTGTCATTAAAAAAAACACCTCACTGTTTTCTCAACTATTTTGGCTTCATAGAACTTGAAAAGGTCAAGAAGTTAAGCTTGGTTGTATTTTTAAAAATTGCCGTAGCAACTTGCAACCTCAGCATAAATATTGTACAAAGGAGTGTAGATTGGAAACATTTTGAATGTGTAAGAAATCAAAAGTGTTCAGGAACATTAATATCAGTTTGTATCAGCTTCAGCTAGTGTAGCTCATTTGAATATTTGGTTGAAATTGCAATCCAAAATACAGTATATGAAATATGCATTGATGACAGTTGACCAGTTCAGGTGTTTTAGCTCTTAAAAATTTAGATATTCACATTTATGGAGCTGATGCTCACCATTCATTTCTGAGCAGGCAGAAACATCTTCAACAGCTGCATAAAAGCCAAGATTGTGATCCACTTTGTGCTATGATTTGTCTGGTACAAATATATTTTCATTTCTTTCTCCAGGTTTTTTGATAAACAGCATGAAAAATATGAGGTTTGAATATTTAGGCATAGGAAGCGAATAAATGGTTAAAAAAAATCATTTGGCCTACTGTACCTGACTGTTATGAGGACTGCTTATCTCACAACATAGGCTAAATCTTTTCCTTTAAAGACTCAGGATTCCCAATCAATACAGATATTGAATGATATGCTGTTGCTTTTCTTTTTTGTTGTTAGAGCACTCCAAATAAAATGAAAATATCCCTTCCCATTGGTAGGTAGAATTCTGAGCTCCCAGCATCATACCACGAGAATCCATAAAGCCCTTAATTCTGTATATAAAAAGAATTGTATTGCTGGTATGTGGCATTGCAAATCAGAATTAAGGAAGCAGCATTTCCATTTTAGGATATGGGATTGCATATCCCTACAGTCCTCTTTCTGAGTGCCTACCAAGATTTAGTTGAGAAATTGTGGTATTCTTTCACAGATAATTATAACATTGCTTGCATATTAACCTAGATTAAAATTAATTTCTGTTCCTTATTTGCTACAGTAATAGTCTTCCCAAACACTTCAGCCTCATATACTAACATTTATTCCAGAATATTAGAGACTGTTGGCATGTCATCAAAAAATATTCAAATGATATGAAGTTCTCAATGATACTTTTGCATAGATAATCATATACTATATGGAAAAAAAGTCATTGTTTCTTGTACTGATTCTTCCCATGGGGCTCAAACTATTTTATAACTGCTATGGTTGTGGTCATAAATGTTGGAAACTACAGATTTTTACCTGTGGGGAAATTTACATGCTACAGTTCATTGTGAGAAAAGATTAGCAGAGACTCCAAGGCATAAGTGTCAAACTCGTGGGCTGTGGGCCGAATCTGGCCCGTGGGTGCTTAGATCTGGCCCACAGGGCCACCCTGGAAACAGCAAATGATTGGCCCCTGGTGCCACTGCCAGAAAAAAAACAGAGCTTGGAAGAGCCACGTGCAGCCATTCCAGGCTTCGCATGCGCCCCCCCAGCTCCGTTTTTGCTGGCAGAGGGCTGCAGGAGGCTGTCACGGCTGAAAACAGGGGCCAGGAACCCATTTTCGCTGGCAGAGTGCTCAGGTCACCACAGGCATCCCCGACATGAGTGGCCATGCCCCCTGGCCTCGCCCCCCCAACCCCCCCCAAGGTCAAACACAATTTTGATGTGGCCCTCAATGAAATCAAGTTTGACACCCCTGCTTGAAAGGCATATTGTATAAAATTCCTGTGAACCAGTCCTTAATATAGACTGCCACCAGAATACATTTGCCACATGTTTATAATCTAAACTGGTAATTTCTTCTTTTGGAAATTCTGATCTAGTAAGATTGCTGATAAAAAAGAATCATTAGTCAGGTTTATAAAACAATTTCAGGCACTGAATCTAAAAATAATATTGTAGATATTGTAAAAGTTGCTCTTTTTTATAATAAATTCAATATTTATATAAATATTTATAATATTTACATATAAGCCATGCCCGGCTAGTCACATGACCAAGCCACACCCACAAATTAGGCCATGCCCACAGAACTGGTTAGTGGTCCCTGGGATTTAAAATTATGAGTTTGGTGGTCCCTGAGGTCCCAAAGGCTGGTGACCCGTTCTAGTCAATGCCCTGCACAAGCAGGAGACCCTATACCTGTGATGGTGAACCTATGGCACGTGTGCCAGAGGTAGCATGCAGAGACCTCTATGTGGGCGAGCCATTGGCAGTTGCTATTCTGGTTTCCGGCGCGCACAAGCATGCTAGCCAGCTGGTCTTTGCATGTGCTGGAGCACCGAAAACCCAAAGACCAGCTGGCCAGTGTACATGTGTGCCTGCCAGCTGGTCTTTGGTTTCTGGCACTCCGGCGCATGTGCATGCACATTGAAGTTTGGGCACTCGGTGCCGAAAAGGAATCTCCATCACTGTATACCATTTCAGACAAATGGTTGTCTAATCTGTTCTTAAAAAGCTCCAGTGATGGAGCATCCACAACTTCTGGAGTTGAGCCGTTCCACTGGTTAATTGTTCTCCCAGGAAATTTCTCCTTAGTTCTCCTTAATTTCTCCTTAGCAGGGCTACAGTGGGATTCAGAAGTGCCCCATCTCTCCCCCCCAAGGCATCAAATTAGGTGGAAACCTTCTGTTTAAGCAGCTTTTTCTCATAACATCTACAATGTCCTGCTCCAGGGCAGGAGTCTCCAACTTGGCAACTTTAAGCCTGGCGGACTTCAACTCCCAGAATTCCCCAGCCAGCTAGCTTGGGAATTCTGGGAGTTGAAGTCCGCCAGACTTGGTTGGCGATCCCTGCTCCAGGGCACTTATCTAGTCTTTCTAATTCATCACCCTTGTTAGATAATAAGCCCAAACAGAGCTAAAACATAGGCTGAAGATTCATAGCGGACTTCAATGCCCAACGAAATTATCATAAAAGAAATCCACCTAAAAAGCACCTTTGCTTCGTTTACCTCAGGTTTCAAAAAGGTTGTTCAGAAAGGAAAATATTGACAAGTTGCGGACCTATAGCTGCACGCCAGCCAGGTAACTTCCTCAGATCCTCACGTCGTTAGTCATTACTATTTCAGAAAAGTACGCCTACCGCCTAGGACACGGCCAGGAAAATAGGAAATCAGAGGCGGCGAAAGGCGATTTTCTCTTTCCCGTCTTTGCTGGTCCAAAGAAAGCAAGGAGCAGAGCTCCCTCTGGACACCGGGAGGCGAACGACAAGCCTCCGCTTTTTCCTGTTCCTCTCCTTCGACTCCGGCTCTTGCACCAACGGTCACCTCAGAGAACCGCTTTGCAGGGCCTACGAGAGAGGGAGAGAGAAGGAGGGGGGGGGGGGAAACAACAACAACCGAGCGCAGCGTGGCGCACCCGCTTTCCCGTCTTCTAAAGCGCCTGCGCCACCAGCCCCTTCGCTCCTTCCGAGCTCGGGAGACTCCGGCGGGTTGCGGTGACATTGTCGGAAGGAGGGGGGGGAAAAGGGTGGAGACTTGGGAGGGCGGGGGCGGCGCCGAGGGGAAGAGCGCGCGCCTTGCTTTGCGCCCCTGTGGCTCGAGCGAGCGGCAGCTGCAGCTGCGGGGCAGGTAAGGTAACTTATCCTCGCGGCGCGTGCGGCGGCGGCGGCGGCGGCTCTGGCGCTCGGAGGAGCCACTCGCTCGCTCGCTTCGGCGGAGTCCCGCCATTTCCCGCCCCGCTTTTCCGGCCACTTTTTTTTTTTTTTTCCCTGCCCCGTGCTTAGCCGGAGTCTGCTGGAAGGAAGCTGCGGACTATAAATAGCTCCGGCTACGGACGCTGCGTGTGCAACGGACTGGGCAGGCACGGCTAGCCGTGACGCCTCGGCTGGAAGGGAGGAACCGCCAGGTAAAAAAAGAAAAAAAAAAGTCAAATAACAGAAAAGAAAAGAAAAGACCAAAAAAAAAAAAAAAAAGCCGGGAGTTTGCTTTGCCCCTTTTCCCTCGGAGGACGCCCAGGGGCGACTTTGAAGGAAGAGGGGCGGCAAGCTGTTGCTTCTGCTGCCGGGATCGAAGATCTTCCTCCGTCTTTTGCCCCGCCGTCGCTTCTGGATCCCTGTTCAAGTTTCTTCCTGTGGCAGTTTCGCTGGGAGCTCAAGTCTGCCGAGACGGGCGCCGGAGTCTGGGTTGGCGAAGGGGCCGAGGCGGCAGGCGGATCCCCCCGCCTCCCCATCCCTGGAATCGTGGGAAGGCTCTCCTTGGCTGAGACGTGGGAGCCGGGAAGGGGCTGCGCGGGTACCGGAGTCGGTCGCGGCCGCGGTTTTCAGTGGGAGACAGAAGGGCAAGCGGGGTGCGGGTGTCTCAAGCTTCGTGGTTTCCAAAGCTGGTGCCGGGCGGGGGGGGGGGAGGGTTTACTCCGTGCCTACTAGAGCCTCTTCCCCTTACCTGCAGCTGCTCTTTCCAAGGCGACCGTTTTTGTGAGCTGTCTCCTCTCTGGGAGGAGGAGGAGAAAAGAAGGGGGTGAACGAAGAGGGAGTAAAGCCTTGCCATCCTCTTTGATCTTCCGACTGCGTGGTATTTTTATTTTATTTTATTTATTTATTTGCCTCGGTACCTTTGCCCGGGGAAATGCGCCTGTATTGAAGCGGTGAAGTCGCGGAGGTAAGCTGTGGTCTCGTAACTCTCGCGCTGAAACGTTTGATTAAAGCCTAAAACTCAAGAATGAGCCTGAATTGCTTTCCGATGAGGCAGGATGCTCCTCGTGTCGGTCCTTTGTGACTTGCGTTGTTTTTTTTTTTAAAAAAAAAACAGCAGCAGTAACAACACATCAGCTGCATTTCAGTTCGTTTGGGTACGCATAGGAAAAGAAAGAACAGATTGATAATTTTGAAGTCTCCCCGTCTTGCTTGCTTGCTCCCTTTATTATTAAGAGATTTGGAAAAGAATCTGTCAGCACTGGAAGAACAAGAGGTAGAACAAGCTGTTTCCTTAGTTCTGGAGAATCTTGTACAGGGATTCAGGAAACAGAGTCGATTTCTTGGTGCATACCTAATTTTACTAAAAATCTCAGACAAAAATCAACTAAGGGAAAAAAGATACACATACCTTCCAACTACATGCATGCTCTCTTTCAGAGAAGAACTACAACTGATTGCTCTGGAAGGAAAGTTAGAGATGACACTTGATGTGTCATGCTAGAAGCTCCTTATCTCTCCCCCTAACCTTACAAGGAAACATTGCCCTGCATACCTTTAGACCAATTTTGTGGCCACATTTTGGGGGAAAGTTGTTAGGTGAACTTCCATGATACAGTGCCCTCTTTGAAAAGCATTCATACTTTTCTACTGAAGCTGGCCAGCATAATAATTGAATAAGTAATAGTACTTGTTAATCAGGTAAAATATATGTGCTGAACTTTACTAAGTATAGATTGCTAATGGCCTAATATTGTATTGGATAATAAAAGGTATTCATAGCATTAAATATCATGGTTTTATTCTGAAAATATGCTGGAAGATTAATTTAATGGTCTGCAGTATTTCTTTTGTGGTTTCATAGCTGAAAGCTGCTTCACTGTAGTCTCAAAGCTTCTCAACCACACTGGGAAAACTGTTTTTAAAATCACAATGATTTTGAGTAATAGACATTTTCTTCAAAATAAATACACAGGGTCAATAAATTATTACAGAGGACTAATTAAAAATAAAATATAATAATGAGCTGTTTGAAATAGAAACATGTCTGTGTTTGATCTGGACATTTTTGTATGTGGGATGTTATATAACCATTCATAAATATTCATTTGCAAACAGGAAAAAACCTGAATTGGTTCAAATAGATGCACCCAAAGAGGCTTATTATTGGAGTGAATATGATCTAGTACTGGAATCAAAGCGGGCATGACTCAGGGCATCAGATTAGTCATGCATAAAAAACCTATAGAATTGGGTTTTTAAAAAGCTATGGAAAGCACACAGAACATGGTTTCCTGAATTCTTTTTAATCCCTTAATAGTTCTATAAGGTCATGCACCTGGAAGGATGGAGGCTTAGAATGAAGGCTTGGCAACATTCTGAGCTGTTACCAACTTCTCCACCTCTAGAGCAGATTTCTCAACCTTAACAATTTTAAGATGTGTGGACTTCAATTCCCAGAATTCCCCAGCCAACATTTTGAGAATTGAAGTCCACATATCTTAAAGTTGCCAAAGAAATACTGCTCCATGAATACATTAGAATGCAAGGATATTATTTTCCTCTGCAACCTTCAGGATTCTGCCCATTTTCAAATTTAATCATTATTTTGGTGCTTCTTCCCCCATTCTAAATTTGGTTCCATTCTATTTTGTTAGAAAACAATTGTCATGCCAATAGCTAAAGTCCCAGCCTCTTTATTCTTTCACATTATCTATTGGGTTGGAAAGTATACAGGTACTCCCTGACTTAAGACCACAATCAAGTCAAAATTGATTGCTAATTCCATTGCTAAGCAGGGCAGTCATTAAGTGAGTTTCCCCCCACTTTACCACCTTTTTGCCACAGTTAAAAGAATCACTGGAATTGTTAAATGAATAAGATGGTCGTTAAGCGAATCTGGCTTCCCTCACAGATTTAGTTTGTCAGAAGCTGGCTGTGACGGTTACAAATGGTGATCACATGACCCTGAGATAGTGCAACTGTCCCAAATACATGCCAGTTTCCAAGTGTACAAATTTTGATCATGTGACCATGGGGATGCTGCAATAGTTGTAAGTGTGACAATCAGTCATAAGTCACCTTTTTCAGTGCTGTTGTAACATCTTGCCCACTGAGTGAAGTTGGCCCAATCCTCCCAATCTTCTATAAGAGCCTAAAGAACTGGCTCTGCCAGTTGGCTTGTGGGTTTCAATGGAGGAGCATCACATCAGATACCATCTCTCCTCCCATTCTGTTCCCTCCCTACTCTTAATTGGGCTGCTATATTTGGCTATGTGTATGTTCTGACCCACACCCTTTTCCAACAAATCAAACACAATCCAAAAGGAACAGAAACCTTGTAATGCTTTTACAAAATAATTAGCTGTGATAAGTAGAAGTCTTGCCAAACTGTGCATGACTTGCCAAAAGATAACAGACAAGAAATAATTTGCAAAATAAGAATCTTCAAATACAAACTCAGGATACTGGAATGTCCACGAGGCTGGAGTTTCAAAACGTCTTTGCCTTCTGCAAAGTACGTTCGTTTCACAGCTGGCTTTTATCTTCTTGAAGGAGGGTTCTTTACCTTGCAGCCTTACTCCTGAGTTGCCCGTGCTGTTGTAACTGCTCTTTCCTACGAGCAATCCTATATGCATGCACACTTGGCACAGGCTCCTCGGGAACCTCCTCATCACTGCTGCCAGCCCTCACAATCTCTGAAGGCCACTCCCTAATGGTCCTGGCCCCTCATGTGAGTCCTCACTCTCCTCAGCCGTCCGCACCTGCTGCCGGCCAACCACAACAGTGTAGTATTTTATTTATGGTTTTATCTTTGTACAATTTTTATTTTTTATGATTGTAAGTGGCCCAGAGTTACCCTGGTTGTAAGTCGAGGATTACCTGTAAAGGTTATTAATGAGTTTCTGGATTTTCTTATCTGGAATGCAGATAAACAGATACTGTTTTCTATATAGGACTCTATATTTAATATAGAACTCTAAATTTTTATTGTTAAATTGCATACATTGAGAAGATGCTATCATACAAAGAAAGGGAAGCAGGATCTGAAAGTTCTGGGCTTTCATTGGGAGGTATATGCTCTTTGTTAAGATTTTCAGGGGGGGAAATATTTTCTCTACATATTTTCAAAACTATCTGGGAAATTGTGCAGCTTGCAAAGCCATCCTATGGGAACTGTAGCTCATAGGATATATTGTTGTATGTCTCTGAATATGTCTGTATCACTCTCTATATTTATATTAATATCTCTATAGATACGTAGTTTGTATATTTGGACAGGAGAAAGAATAATGAAGAATATCGGAGGACTAATTTTAGTGCAGCTTTGTCCAACAAGATGCTTTCTAGCTGGTTTGAATTATGTCATATAATCTCTGGTCATGATATCCAAAAGCTGATTTATGGATATCTGTCTAAGCCCATATGACGTGTGTATAGGCCCAGTTCCTTGCTGCTGTTGTTCCAAAATGAGACAAAGGTAGCCTTAAGGGCATTGTGGGGCTTAGTTTGCATCAGGCCTGCATTTTTGTGTATTCTTAGTTCTCTAAAATGAGAACTATTCTTGTGCTCACGCTAAGTACAGCTTTAGTATGATCCAGCAGGAAATAACTAGCTCTGAATGTGACTGTACTGACTGTACAGTGTTGCCTATTTCCAAATAAAGTAATTTGATTCATCTTTGAAATGCAGTTTCAGAAGATGCAGGATTCACTGTAATTTAGTTATTGTAAAACAGTGAAGAGTAATATCGGTAGTATTTTCATACATTGCTACAGATCATTTTCTTTTTATTTGTTCTTTATGGTAGTGATTTAAGTATTCTTCATATATGAAAAAATTACATTATAGGTTTTATTAAAGGTTTATAACTCATATTATATAATAAAGCTTTTCTGAGACATTCTGGGCCATGTGATTCAAAATAAATTCGAATAGATTCAAAAGATGAGTAACCATCCTGAAAACAAGGACTATAAACATTTGACAGAATTGGATACATTTAGCCACAAGATAATTGGTTGGCCAAAAAGATATATGACAGCACTCTTCAAAGGACTGCCATAGCAAAGAGACCATTATTTTTTCTACTACTTTAGAATGGCAAGACTTAATTTAATGGTACTAAGTTAGAGGACAGCAGATTGTGCAGTAAGTATTAGGATAAATGTCTTTGTAGTAAGTCAGATGATTGAATTAATATGATGGGTAATGG